GCCAAACCCCGCCTACCCCGTGCTGTGCTACCACGTCCGTGCTGTGCTACCGCGGCGTGGAGCAACGGCAGCCACTGGTCCGAGCGAGACGCTGCGCTCCAAGGACAGGCACGCGCGGCCACCGGCCCACGCCCGCGAGTCGCACGGGGCCCTCCCCGCCGATCTGCCCGTCAAGAAGCACCGCACGGGGCAATCCAACGACGAGGTCTGCCCCCCTGCTCCCCCGCCGCCCGCCTGGCCCGCCGTCCGCATCGCCGTGTCCCGGTGCCGAGTGTTCTCACTTCTCGCATCGCGGGTGGCAAATTGTGGATGATCAGCGGCTGCTGAGGGCGAGCAGGGAGATCGCCCGGCCAAGGCTGCTGCCCATGGCCGACCACTAGGCGTTCGTGTTCCCGGACAGGCCCTCGCCACCGTACAGCCCGCCGCATAAGGTGCGCCCCCGGCCTCGCCTCACCGCACAGCCCGATCGAGACACCCCTGCCGCCGGTGGCTGACGGTCGCCGCGTGTGTTCGTCCGTGATTGTGCAGGAATGGTACTACGTCAGCGAGCTCGGCGACAACCTGTCCTCACGGTGTAAGCGCCAGAACTGGTGGTTTCTGTGCCTGGGAAGTGCTGCCCCTGCAATTCTGGGCATGGGTCTATGAGTCGCGCCTTTGCCGTTTGGACGCAGACAAGGTGCTTGCGAGGATCGGAGAGGGTAGGCGGTTGAATTTCAGCTCGCCGCCGACGGTTGCAACGGACTGCAGCTGCTTTCCTCGGCTATGAATCCCCGCAGCTTCTGATCAAGGCGAGTTCCATCGCAGGATCCTTTGGGCATGTGCTGGAATGCCGGGAGCGGGAGAATAATGTGGCGATTGAAGTCATTCGCAACATATCAAAGTACCGTGACGCCACCATTATCAAGGTAAGGCGAGGGTGGAAATGCGGCCATTGTCGGCCAGTCCCTGTGCCGGCTGCTCACTAACTGTGGAACCATTATGATGGATGCACATATGGGGGCTTCAATGGCAAGAGTGTAGCACACCCAAATCTTCAAACCATCTACCTAAACAACGCATGACCCATGATCTAATGCAGAAAGGATATATGGTGAATGGTAGCCTGCCTGGCAATGCGCTAGAAGTTGAAAGCCCTGGCTGAAAGTGTGTGGAAATCGCCTGACGGATAGAGGAGCAGCCTTGTTGCTTTGCATACATTTTTGATGCATGGATACATGGCATTCATGGTGGCTTGTGCAGTGCAGCTGGAGGTGCTGAACACACTTCAAGCAAACGACCCTGAAGGGAAGAGGCAGGTCATCAGAAGAGACACCCTTTGTTTGTTCAGCAGGCTATACGCATGCATGTTGTGATTTGGCTTAATACTGTGGGCGCTGCTGTTGCAGGTACTGTATGGGCACCCATGAATGGTTTGATTGCCGGGGACATGTGTGCAAGGTGAATGTCCTTCTGTGCTGTGAAGGAGACTTGATGCATCCAGATTCCAGCAAGGTGTTCATTGTTGTTTACATTTCCTGCTAGAATGTGGAGGTGTGAGCATGGTTCAGAAGTCAAATTATGTGGGGATGTTTGCTGTATGGCTGGTGCTCCTTAGCATTGATCAAAGTCATTGTGCTGTTGCCATGTGCCATTGCGTTGGCACTGTGATCGTATCAATGCACTGTTCATCTCAATCTCAAGAACTTTTCCAGTTTTTGTAGTCATGCCACAAAGACTTGTGCCACTTGCTTCCAGTCTGCACATGTGGCAAGCTTGTCTTTTCACAGGGAAATGATCGAAAAGGTTTCTTCCATTCTGTCCTGCAGGATCTCGAAAGGCTGGAGCCAGCCTGTACTATTTCCTGCAGCAGATTGACTGCCATCCAGTTTCCATTCCTGCGGTGCAGTTGCTGGAAGCCATTGCATACATGCAGTAGATCAAGCTCATGCACACAGACCTGAAGCCTGAGAACATACTGCTGGAGCGGCATGGGGTAGAAAAGGTCGGCAGCACCCCATCAACTGGAGACCGCTGTCTGCATGATCGCAGAGTCACAAGGTGGTTCAATCTTAGAGCACAACCAATGCCAGCCCAGATATTTGTACTTGCACTTGCCCACCGTCACGTCTTGCACAGATCGTGGAGGATGTGTTGTGTCTGCCTGCTGTGGAGGATGTGCCTGCTGATTGTTTTGAAGTTTCATCGATTAGGGTTGCAGTAATCAGCAAACGGTAGGGTAAGGTTGTATTCGTGGCAATGTTGCACAGTTTGTTGTGTGACATGTCAGGGAGCTGGTGTGTGCTGACACTGTGCAAGTGTGTGTGACAGGTGGAGAGGTGGTGATGGCGAGGATGGTGTGGTGATGTCGACACAGGTGGTGGCCACCATGGGCTGCTGGTGCAGTATTGCATGATGGTGCCAAGGCTCAACTAGGGTGGCAGTCTGGCAGGCATCGGTGCAAAGGAATGGCTAATGGGAGTTGTGTTGCCACTGCATTCATAATAGATAGCTGCTTAGAGAACTGAGAGGGGGATGATTTATGGGTAGTTGCTTGGCCAGAGATATGGACGCAATTTGATTTGCAGTTGTAAAATCTGTAAAACAATTCGTTTCAGAGATTGTGTGCGCCTCTCGTTGACGACCTTACGCGCCCAGACTGCCAGCATATTTATGCCGTATACCTGCCATATCTCTGCCATATCCCTGCCATATCCCAGGATATGAGCGCCACATATCCAGCATATGGTCATATCCTCGTCCATATCCTCGTTCATATCCTCCCATATCCTTGCCATATCCTCGTCCATATCCCTCCCATATCCTCGCCATATCCCAGGATATGGGCTCCCATATCCTGGGATATGCCATATCCTCGTCCATATCCCTCCCATATCCTCGCCATATCCCAGGATATGGGCTCCCATATCCTGGGATATGGCCCATATCCTCGTCCATATCCTCGCCATATCCCAGGATATGGGCGCCCATATCCTGGATATGGGCCGCCCATATCCAGGATATGCATATCCTCCCATATCCTATTCGATATCCTGGATATGGGTGAGGATATGGGCGTTTCCATATCCTAGGATATGTAACTTTTTTCCGACGACGCAGGGGGAAGCATTACAAGCTGCTCACTCAAATGGCGGCCCACCATCGATGCAGCAACAAAAAAAATGTCAACTAATGTTAGATTGCTCCTTTATTAGATGAACAAGGCATGAAAATGCACCCCTGTGGTGATTTTAATTTTAGTCTGGTTTGTGAATGTAAATAAATATTTTGAGACCGTGAAGATTGCAATCGTTGATAATGCCGCCTTGCAAGATTCCATTGCTGCCAATCTCCTCAAATTTACATTCTTAGTTCCAAACCCAAATTGAAAAATACTGGAATGATATCCACAGCAAACAAGTATACGAAACATGGCAGTTTGTTAGATGCAGCAGTGTAGATGTCCCTGGAATTTCACCGGGCGTGATCGCTGACCAACTTCAATAAGCCTGTTGGTTGGATACTTTGAAGCTTGGCGCCTGAACGCATTGCCAAAGAAACAATGAATGGAAGTACACGTATAGGTACACGTGCCATTGGGTCGGAAACTAGTTCAGAATATGCTGGAAAGCAACCCATTCATGTGGCAAACACTGGTATATACCAATGAATATGTTGATTCAGCAATTTTGTTTTATTGTTAGGAATAGAGTGCATAGTCCACGATGGGAGCTCTAAAAGCAAAGCGGCGGAGGCGACGCATACGGTACGTCCAATGTGCCTTCATTTTCTGTTCGGAAACTGAAGTCCGCCATTGTCCACTCCACAGTGCATGCGGCTTCGAGGTTGCCAGGTTAGGTGACGTTTCTATCTTTGGTGCCCATTGCAACCCTTTTTAAGTACAGAGCCTGTGACCGCCATCGTACTTTGCCCACATACTTCGCAACTTGAACCACAGTATGCAAGGCCAGCACTCTGTGCTTCACCAAATGCAAGCTCGAACTCATTCAACAAGGATGGGCGTGTGGCAGCAGCATTGTTAGTCAGATGGCGGTCGCTGGGCTGCCCTATTCAGGGCGGCTACCGCTTGACCAGGAATCCCCGTCAAGGGTGAGGGTGGGGTGGGGGTAGGGTTGGCTGGGTTGGGGGGCGGGTGTAAATGGTAGTGCAACGCCTCTCTCAACTTCTGCGCACAGCTCACAGCTGTGTTTCTGCTCTGATATTATACTTTCGAGAGGAGTGGTATTGGCAATGCAAATCACTTGGGATCGAGGTTCTCGGACAGGGACGCGCAACAGGTACGCCAGCTGACAGGCCCATGGAACTTTGTGCTAATGGGAGACACATCGGCCCTGTGGCAAGCAATATCCACATTGCTGGCACAGTGGGCAACTTCTTTGACTGTGCAATGCGACCACATTGAGCCGCGTCCACATCGCAATAGGTTTCATTTAACACAACCTTCCAGATCTCTATCTACATGCCTCCATGAGCCAGAGCTACCATCTTGCAGACATAGCCTTCTTCGCGGGCACAAGGCCATTGTCCCTCGCGCCCAATAGCCAACTTCAATTCCAACAAGCAGTAAAGCCGGTGCTGCGCCGTTCCCAAGCCTCAGCGGGTGTCCCCACTGCACATCCCCCATCATGTCAAAAACCACTTCAAAGCGTCACCATTGGCGGGCCTTGCAGTGCACCCCACTCCAAAACTGAGGCAAGAGGCGATCCTGACGACGGCAGCAGCCCTCGCAGACGCCTCTTCCCATGCTGGCAAGTAGGACTGGCGCCATCTCCTGCATCATACCCACTTCCATTCCATAACTATCTCAGCTCTTGCCATACACACTGCTAGGGCAATTTGCCCGCATGTCTTTGAGTGCACCCCTCTTTACCTTGACGGGCGCTCCAATTATTGCAAACTCAAATCCGCCTGTTCCTGTAGCTACACACGAGGCGCACCAGAATCATGAGGCGCCAAAAACTAACACACCATGCGCCGTTGCCCAGCTGCACGCTGTTTTCTTCTCAATCTCTCTTGGGATTGACAACGAGGTTCGTGGCGGCCACGTAGGCCGCCATCACTTGGGACAGCATGAGCGCCCAGCCTCCCCACTTCATGGACGCGTAGTGCGACGTCTCCGACAGGCAATGTGCGGGCAGGGCCGACAGAGACGACATAAGAGAGTGATCGAAACTTTTCTTGTCCTTGATGTTGCTGCCATCGTTCCATCCAGCCATCTTCAGCTGCAGTCGCATGAAAACAGCGTTTCAGACCCATGTAGTCTCCTGACAGGATAGACATCCGCTTTTTACATTTTTCATGTTTTGTTGCCATTCTGTATTTACATTGTGTCGAAAGTGCACCTGCGCTTGTATGAAAATATGTCCATTTCGCACAATTTTGGTCCGTTTCACACCTGGCTCAACATGTTCAGCAATTCAGCAAATTCTTGATCATCGTGCATCAGTGCTGCTCTGTGAGCCAAAAAGTGACAAATCATCGACGAATCAGAAGTGCGGTCCATTGGGCCAGAGCCCAAGAGTGGCGCTTCTCCACAAACGCAGATAGAGCAATTACATCGAAATATAAACCGTGCGCTACAGTTTCACAGTGAAACAGTAGTGCAGTAGGGGAAGCCGCAGTTCAAGGCATCCAGAGGGGCGACACCTCACGGCAGTGAACTTTCCTTGCTTGTTCACATGCACGCCAAAGGTGGGGCATGGCCGTATGCTGGGAGCCGTGCATTCAAGACAGACTAATAGAGGATTAGTATGCTGCCTTCCATACACGACAAAGCCCTTCACCCTCACCTCGAACGCTTTCCTGGCCTGCTCCTTCTCTTTGTAAATCTTGTCCAGTTCCTCCCCTTTGTTGGTCATGTCGAACTCGTGGTACCGGTCCCTCTCCGAGCGCTCGAAGGAAGCCTTGACATACGGCAGGTGCGCTTCCTCGGCTTCCATTGCCTCGCTGTCGGGGTGTCCACCTTTCAGGGCGTTGTACAGCATCTGCACAGGCGTTGGACGACAAGTTGGTCAGTATCGAATGCGATGGCACAGGACAGTGGCCATTCTACACAACTCACATCTGCAGTTCAGTCGTGCTGTCTTCCTGGTACTCCTGTATCAGCAAACTGTATATAGATGGGACTCACTCGTGCAGTGTCAACAACGAAATCGTTACCGCCAGAGAACCTGCCATTTCGGTAGTGACCCAAGTTCACCAGAAACAAGTGCTGTTGCTCTGCGCTTGATGCAGGCATTTAATAGCCAGAACAGCGGTACCTGCCATGCCCCGCCTTGCACCAGGCCTGCAATCCAATCAGTGTTGGGTTCTACGGGCAGTCGAGAGCATTGGCTAAGCCCTTGCACCGTTTTAAGTGTGTCTTCAATCCGACACTCGCAAAATGAAGACCACTTACCACGACTTCATATCATGCCACATCATCAAAAATCATCCACAGTGCCCAACGACCAAAATCTGTATATGATTTGATGTCCGTTTGCCTGAGCGACTCAGCCGCCCAAGGCACATGCCATGAGTTTCTGCACCCAAGACTCAACCCTTCCTCACAAAGTTCCCCTTTTACCCACTGCAAGCACCACAAAGAGCAGCACACTCCGACTTCTACCTTAAAACTCGGGATTCAATTTCCAGCAGCATTGTGAGATTCAGCATTCGGACCTAAACTTGAACTTCCATAACCATAACAGCATCATTCCCCATCAGCGAAGTCACCTCAGAGCACATTCCCACCTCGTAAAGCTCATACGTCATCTCCCCATGGCTCAAGCCATTGTCTGGGACGTTCTCCAGGACTTTCTGGATGTTGTTGAGGTGCCCCTCCAGCACTGCCCTGGCCTCCTTTTGGCTCTCGAACACCTCTGTATCGCCCTTGTGCTCCTCTTCCATCTCCTTGGCTTTGCGGTAGATGTGTTCCAACATATTTTCTGCATGCTTGTGCAGGCTGTCGATTTTGCTCTCAAGGTAGTCCTTGTCCTTGAGAGACAGCATAGCCACGAAACAGTATTAAGGAATAGGGCACCTTGAACATGAAAATTGGTCACTTTGGAATTTCGTTGTTGGCCAAAACGCCCTAATTGTGCTTCTGAAAACGTTAGCAAACACTGCACACACAGCCATGTTGAGATATTCAACATACAGCACTTAGAGATTCTGTGCCCATCACAGCTTGCAGGGTATTTTTGTCACTGCCAATTTGCCGACTATCATCCATGGAATTTGGCTGCATGAACATCATGTTCAAGCTGGAGAAGTCATGTTTTAAGGCTGTCAACAGCTTTGTTGACATTAATTCTGCCTGCTACTGCAGTTCAAGACGAGAACACTGATTGGCAGCTCCTCCTGCTGCAGCTTCTATGTGTTTGAAATCAGCCACCCAGCATCAATCTCACAATTGATTCATCACTCAGCCATGGATCCCAAATTGTTGCTAGATCAGGTGCTCCACAACAGCCACTGCCCATGGTTGTTCATCGCATTGGATCGATACAAATAAATACAACACACCTTTTGCTGGCAAACTTGCCAGGATGCGGAACACAAGCAGTGCAGACAGCAGTGCATTGCAACATCGTTTGACTGAATTTGTCAAAACCCAATACAACATGGTCTCTACACAGTGCAAAGTCTGAGAAAATAAGCTGTTTAAAAGGTGCAGGCCCATTGGCAAAACTGAACATGTGAATGCCCATGCGAGCTAGGAGCCCCCTTTCTGTAGTTAGTGAAGGTGGGCTATCAGAGATTTGCTTCTTCAGTTTGGAAAACAACCAATAATCTTTCTTCCCTTCAGGCTTCAAAATATTACATCACATTCACGAGGCCAGGTGTCACCCTAGCTCCAGCCAAAAGATTTGTGCCTAGTGCCATCCAGCAAACAATGTTTCAATGCAAGCGGCCCTCAATGCCTTGAAGTCACTAGACATGCATGGTCAGATCTCACAATTGGCAAGCAAGTGGCTCTGCAATCGGGATTCTTTGGGGCACAAAACAACAGGTGTGAGAGTATTACCTTCAAATCTACCTATGCCTGAACACTTGGGGTTCGTCTGCTGTGCATGAAAATCATCGCAACACATGGACGTGAACAGCCCCCATCGTCCACAAAAGCACACCGCAGACGTGACATTTGGTTTGCCCACATGGTGGCAGTTGTATCCAACGCACAGTTCCCCGAGCGTTTCACTGGTCGATCCAAGTTTCTCTGGCAATGGAATAGTCAGGACGATGGGGCCTTGTCTTACCTGCTTCTTGAGCCCTTCCTGGGCTGACCTCAGTTCAGTGACGTGCACAGTGCCCTCTGAGACCATGTCCATCATGTCGTCCAGTTCGTTTAGCCTGTAAAACAACCGGTCCACGATGTGGTCCTTGTTCATGGCCACAACTGTTTCCTCCAGATGGGCCAAGCGAATGTATGACTCGGCAAAGTTGCAGTGCACCTCCATGTCACGGCCGATCTGCGCGGTCAGACACCAGAATATGAGTGAAGCAGAGAGCAATTCTACTGTTCATTGCGTGATAATGGAATAGCCAGAGCTACGGTAATCGCGGCATTTCGCACTATTCTATGCAATTGCCCTCGTTGTCAACACAATGCCATGTTGCGCAAGTAGTTCATGAACAAGAGTGGCCACTACTGATGTGGCTTTCGTTGCTCCAGGGACTGAATACTGATTCAGCACAGGTTTCTTGCAATTGCACACACTACCAGTTCCGACTTCAGGGGCTGTCAATGCACATGGTATGACAAAAAAAGTGTGTTCTAAGCTCAGCTCATCAGCAAGCCCTTTTGGGAAATGGTTGAACTGCCACTCAGAAATCACAGCTTATTTGCTCACTGCACTTGAACAGCAACGCCCCTCTCAGTTGTTTATTGTGTAGCAAAATGGCATGGTTTCTTGTGTTGCTCCCACAGAATGCCTGCAGAACCACAAGGCTTCTGGCAAATCCAGTCCACATGATGGGCAGTGAATTCCTTTCAAAATAGTTGGCCGATGTGCCCTGGCGCTGCCTTTTCTTAGAGGACCATTTAGTGATACAACACAGTGCAACAGCAGAAAATCATGCACACTCAACAGGTCATCAGTTTCTTCCACATTCTGGCATGGCTGAAATGCTCACCTGCCCAACAAACTCAAATGTCAGAAGGGCCATGAACCCCATTCCCACGATGAACAGAGTTTGAAATTGCGGTTTCTGGTGTGCCGTCCCAAGGAGGCCAGCGGCACCAAGCACCAGCGAAGTGCCGCCAATTATCTGGGAAAACACAAAGCGCCCTTCATTGAGACAGCCTGGGTTTGACCAGGCTGGATCAGGTAAGTCTTGCATGGCATGGCTTGTCTGGACAACAGTAGCAGCATATCAGAATACGGTATCTCCATATACCTGTATATGAGATTTCGCCCACCATCGCCTTGCAGGTAAATGGTCTGTGCTTTGTCACTCTTTACAACTAACTTTAGTGGAGTTTACTTCTAACTACAAGATCGTGGCGCCTCAATTGCAAAGGACAGATAGTCCTGCACAATTGTTACATATTTATAAACATGACATCAGCTCATTTTGGAACAAAGAAAGCACTGTATTACTTCCGCAGCACCACCTGGGGCACTGCATGGCACACTGCATCAATACTGAAAGGCAACAGTATAAGTGTGTCCTCCTCTTCCACAATCTATTGCTTTCAAATAAACAATAGAAAACATATCATATGTATGCTGCCGATTACCAAGCATATTCCACATCAATAGGTTGCATTGGTCCCTTACTGTCCTATTACCTATCACAACCTGCAGGACGTTGATTGCAGGGCCAAATGGCCCAAACTGATCCCAAGCTTCAAAACATAGCTACCAGCTCTGTACAACAACAGCAGTCCCACCAAAATCAGGATGTCACATTTGAGTGCCATGGTGACATCTTTGTTGCGAAGATGAACAGACAACTGAGAAGTTGAAAACATCCCATACATCCCAACATCCCATCTACTGAGTAACTTTATCAACTCATATACAGGCAAAGAGGTGCACAGAAGGCTCCCTGAAAATATGCTGGACTCCGTGGCTTTAGCCCAATCACTCCAACTTCTTCCCACTTCAGCTTGCAGCCACCTCAACAACACTTAATTGACCATGGCACAAGCCATGCTACTCAGCTATTCAACCGCTATACACATTTCATCACCTGTCCTGAAGTCCTCCCAGTTACTGAAAGATACCAAGTCGACGTTGCAAACAGAAGAATTCCAAATATCTGCAGAACACACAAGCCCCATATCAGCACACAAGGCTGGATTGTGTGTGCTCTGCTCAACTTCAAACTAAAAAATGTGGCTGCAGCACTTGCAGCTATTTGTGCCAAGGCCCCATCTAAGCCCACTGAGTGCGTGTTTCTCGCTTATCTTGTTGCTTGTGATGTGGGCACATCTTCTCGCAATCTGTAACTCTATACCCAGTTTCACGGCGTGGAACAGCTTCTCAAACCCACTTGTTTAGCAAGGGGCGCCCTTTGTATGACCTGTTGACAGTCAACACGTAACAGAACATGCTCTCGCGTCGTCCCCTTGCAGACACTTAAAAAACCCTGTATTGCCACAGCAACCCACCACGTCTCTAAACCCTCTGGAATTAATATTGCCACTTACCATTTGGGCTATGCATGAGATCTGACTGAACCCTGTCCATGAGGCACTGATCTTCAAGCCTGACACACTGTCTTCACCTGTACACAGGTGTCAACAGACTATCAACACTGGAAGCCCATGCCAGCAATCTACTGGCCACACCCTGGGAGCCAGATTCAAGGAACAAAAGCCATTAGGCAAGATTGGTTCACATCTTCCCAATGCATGCCCCCTAACGCCAATGTGCTTCCTTGTGGCCCTGTCTCCGATTGGAATCAGGCCCAGCAACATATTCAAGATGCAATGCCAGCGATGCGTCACCTTTGGGAATTGAAAGGAAAGGGTTGTGACAAGCTAATGACAAGACAAGTACGCCCCGCCCACGTGTGCATTCTCTTTTGCGACGTTGGCAGCAAAAGCTCATTACCACAAGAGAGACACATCAGACGATAGGCACGATCCCACCAAGCAAGAAGACGTCGACACTTGTTCTCTGGTTTTGAAAGAAAACGTATTGGTCTCCGAAAGCAGGATGAATACACACACAACACTGGGCAGCAACACACAGTTCGCCGCCTGTCACTTATAATGGACTCAATTCACATCATTCCGCCTGAGTGGGACACCCTGGCAATGTTCCACAGCTTCGCCGGCTCGTATTCCGATGTGCCCAATAGGGCCAGAATTGCTGAAAAATTGCCTGACAGGTGCATGGTCAATGCTCTGCCCCGACGTGGCCACTGTATCGAAACCACGTTTCCACCGTTGAAGAATCGCAGAACGCAATGCTCACACAGAGCGTCCAGCACACGGCTTTTCCGTAAGGGTTACAGGTGCGCCAACACTCCTCAACCGGTACCAAGAGAAGTCTGCACAAACATTCTGTCCGATTGGATTCCCCCACGCCCGCCTGTGGCGCTGTCGACCGGCCCAAGAAAAGGTGCACAAGGCGGCGCTGCGGCAGCCACTGCTGTCGTCGCGTGGCGCGTTTGGGTCCAGCGCCGCAGAGGGACCCGCGGGATGTGAACCAGGGCGTCAGCCGTCTGACCGGCGGCCTGCGAGCTCAACAGAGGCTCCATACGCAACAAGTCCTTGTGCGCAGGGCCCAAAGTAACCATCACCAAGTCCCGCCAGACCATAATTTAGCCGTGAACCAGCGCAATGAAGTCGTGCGAATCGCCGCTCTCGCCGCCGGCAGATTTCCTACCCGGAAAGCCGGTCCCCTGTTCGCTCAGCGGACGCCCTCAACGTGGCGCAAACCTGGTCAACCACCCTCTACCCATCTGTGCGCTCAGACGGCGGGGCTAGTCCAATTTAGACCGCCTCAGGGGCAGCTGTCCACAGTACGCTGAGCAGACACGCCCCACAGCCAGCGACTACACTCGATATGGCAGATGCCCCCGATTCGCCTGCTGCGTTGCAATCAAACAGGGAAACGGGCCACCCCCCGCGCGCCCCTCGTGACCAGACACCGCCAGAGGCTGGACAACACGTCCGCGTGTCGCTCCAGCCCACGGGACCGCCCTCATTCCCAACCCCAGGCGCATTGGGCCGCGATCGCCCACATGGGGATCGCCGGCGCCCGCATCATCGCGTCGGATGCACCGGCGGCCATGCATGCATGAGGCCAAGCCGATTTCTCGATTCCTCCAGCCACCCCCTGCCCACCTTTGCGCGGCGTCTCCACGAAGCCCGTCGTGAGGCCCCACGAGCCCACTCTGCGATGCATGGCTCCGCGGCCGCCTCCTCCCAGCCCCTCTCGGACAGTCGCGCCGGCCCGCCCGGACCCGCGGGTCCAACCTTCGCCGGCCGCCGCCAAACCCCGGATCGATCGATCCGCTCCCAGGGGAGGATTGGGCCGTCGATCGAGCGAGGCGAAGGGCGGGTGGTGGGGGGCGAGGCGCGGGAAAGTATTGTCGCTGGGCGGGCAGTCGCAGTGTCACATCGCGGGAGGTGGGGAAGGGGTTGGCGGACGATGTGACCCCCGAGGCCTGTAGGAAGACGGTGCACGGAGCAGGTTGGATCTCTGCGCGCAAAAATGTGCAAAAATGCGTGAAATACCAAAGGAAACGCGTCTTGCGTGAGAGCTGCTGAGGTTCGATCGACGGTTGGTTGCGCAACGCGACTGCCTTTCCTGAAAGCGAGGTGGACGAGGGTACCCTCGTGTGACATTTGACCCTGAATCTGGTGTCGCAGCGCGTTTTGAACTTTGCCTCGGGCAAGCACGGAGGCCCCGCACAACGGTAACGCTGCACACCGCTCACAGCACATTTCAAACAATGGCCGGCTGGTCCAACGGCAGCCCCGCGCTACCTTTTCTTTGCCTTTAAACAACAACGCCCGAGCTTCCTTCTTGCTGACGTTCAACTGCACGCGTGGATGCGCGGTTGCCACCACATGTGTCCCAGCTCGTCAGCTTGAAACGGCACTCCGTTTGATGTACTTTCAAAAATTCAAAAATATTTTCAAAAATATTCCAAAAAGGAACTCACAACGTAAGGGGCTTTTTCAGCTCTTGAAAACCAGCACACACAAATACCTGCTGCAAGGTGACCACCGGCGGGTTGTGGAATGGGCGAAGTGATGGGTGCGGCACTTGCTGCAACAACGGGTGAACCTGCGTTTCATCGGTTATGCACCCAAACCCCACTGTTACAATTACTACACCACCCTTGACAACAAAGAATTCTACCCCAAGTTCACCGCCCAGCCCTACGGGCCCATCCGCCGTCACAAAAACACATGCAGATGGAAAGTGCGTCCTCACAATGTCACCCGTTGGTACGTCAAGTGACCGAAGGTTGCATTCGGCCAGGTGAATGAACACGGCGACGCATACCAATTCCGTTTCCAGGTACTTTGTGCTGCACCAGATGTGTGGGATATGCCCCTGTCTACAGAGCCAAGTGGAAAGACAAGGGAATCTATTCCACTTGCACTCCTTGGTACATAAAGCTACAATTTTCCCCTTGGAAAAGCCCTATCTACTGGGGAGTATCAGGCAGTGTCTGTCCATGCATGTCAGCGAGACAGGCCCACTCCTTTGCAGGAGCGGCAGGCCTAGCATTCGCAGCCCAGGGTCTGCTCCCAACCACGAGTCCATCTGCAGGTGCCCCAAAGGCTCTACTGCTCATTTCTGCTGACCTGGCCCCTGCTTTGTGGACAAACATTGTCTGGGTCGCTGTGCAACACCAAAATGGACTCATTCCTGCAAAATGCATGAATGCGTTCATGGCTTGTAACATCTCCACGCCAACGTTTGAAGCAAACTACGATGTCCCCAACACTGCAGTTCTTTAGCCATCAGAGGGCACATGTCATCGTCACCCAACAACAACGAACACTGCACCTGCCACAAGCTGGTACAGTGACAGGACTGTTGCACCACACTTTGCGGAGTTTGACTGCGGTTGCACCCCACCAGACAGCTCCCTTCGCACTTTTCGGCAATTCAATTAAAATATTCACACTCTAGGCCCCAACCCACATCCCAGCATGGTGCCACGCCCCACCCGCAATCCCTTCCCCTCCGAACACCCTCCCCTTGGAGCAGTGGCCTCCGTGGCCCGAGCCCACCTGCAATCGCCTCCACATAACCTTCGTTGCTCCCGGGCCTGAACGCACTCCATGCACGGAATGCACTGATTGCATGGCTCCCACATCCCAACACCTGAATTGCCTTCTTCACCCCGTGCCCACCCGCAATCCCCTTCCAAGGCGCGGAGTTCCCCCTTCACCCCGCAGCGGGACAAACTCATCACGAATGCCGTCGCCGCCCACATATCCGCACCGTCCCCTCACAAACTGATCAGGTCCCCGGTCTGGTCGGGCGCCGGCTGCTGCTGCGGCGGTGGCTGCAGCCGGGGCGGCGATCCCGGCTGGGGGCCCCCCCTCGCGGTGGGGCTCCGCGCGATCACCAGCTCATCAAATCCGTCCGCCACGACCTGCCGGGGCCGGACGCCCACGGGCGCCGGCCGACCCACCCCTTCGGCGGCCAGCATCGAAAACGCGTCGTGCGCCGTGGACGAGGAGTCCGCGCTCGTGGGCGATGCGGCCAGCCCGGAGAGCACGTCCGGTGCAGCAGCGGGGGCCCTGCCCCGCTGCTGGTGCTCAGCCACCGTGTGGTCGGTCACCAGCGCTGGCAGCAGGCCAGGCGCCGACTGGGCAGGCGCATCCCGGGGGGCGTCGGCAGATTGGCGAAGCTCCTCGTAGCGCGCATGCGCGCGGTTGAGGTCGTCCATCACGGCCAGCGCAGTGCCCAAATCGTCGCCATCCCCGGCGCCGTTGATCACGCGCATCAGCCTCGGCCGGGCGCCCTCGCACTGCGACGCCAGGTCGGCGATGAACTCCTGGCGCACGGCGCCCAGGTCGGACGGCGGGATCGAGTCCAGCGCCTCGACAAACAAATCCACCGCGTTACGCGCCAGCTCCAGGTCCTCCTGCGCCGGGCCGGCCGGCGCGGATGCCAGCACTGCCGGCGGCTGGCCCCCGGGCGCCCCCCCGCTCCTCCTGGCCGTTTCCGCCCTCTCCAGGTCCCTCAGCGCCTCCTGGATCGCGGCCTGGTCGGCCTCCGTGACCCCGCCGACAGCCTGAGCCGCCGCCGTGGGCTCAGGGTCGATCCCCAGGCCAATTTCGCCGGCCGGCCGCTCCGGGAAGCGCACACCGGCGTCCCTCAAATCCAGCACCGCCCTCTGGAACTCATGCGGCCGCAGGCTGTGGGCGAAGTCCTCGACCATCACCAGCACCCTGTCTTGCACCTCCAGGTCCACGCGGCGCTTGGGGTCGCCCAGGCGCACCACGTCGCCCCACAGGTCGGAGGACGCCAGCGCGGCGTGCATGCGGGCCCCACAGTTCTTCACGCACGTCTCCAGCACAGTCAGCACCAGCAGCTGCACCTTGGGGTTGCTCCGCGCCAGGCGCCGGCGGATCACCCGGAAGAGCTTCTCGTAGGTCGGCGCCCCCTGGTGGGTGTTCACAAGGTCCACGAGCTCCATGTTGAGGCCCCAGTCCGGGGAGATCCACATCTCTGAGGTCGCCCGCTCAAGCAGCCCCGACATCTGCCTCTCCAGAGCGTCGCTGGGGCCCCCCAGGCCCTTCAGCCTGTCCTTCAGCCGCTCGCGCAAGTTCGCCATCTCCCGCAGCGGCCCTCTCGAGACCACCGAGTTGAAAGTCGCCGTCCGCGTCAAAGTCACCGTGTCGCGAGTCGCGGAGCGCAGAGCGACACGGAGGGGGAAAATACGCCGAGCTTTCTCACGGCACCGGATGCGGGCGTGCACTCTAAGACCGTCGCGGTTGGGTTGGTGGAAGGGGGCGGACGTGGCGGAAGGTGATTGGCTGCGGGGTCAAATTGGGGCGACAGGCCAAACCCAAACGAGAGCCTGACCTACCGGATTGGGGCATCGCTCAGGAAAGGCGCCTGCACCTGCACGGGGGGGGGGGGACACACTGCTTCCAGCACCTTCGGCACAGACGGGCGCAACGGGTGACGTTAACCGCTGGGGGCGTTACCAAATCGGTTCTGTGATGGTGGCGACTGTGGGCTGGCGCCTGTTGTTCGTTCCGGGACGATGTGGCCATGACCCCGGCCGCCGCAAGCCGGCGCGGCGCTTTGGATGAGGCTGTCCTCAGGCCTGGCGGGTTTGACAGGCGTGTGTCGGTGGAACAGCCAGACAAGTTTGGCGGAGATGTTATGGCGGAATCGAGCGAGTTGCGCTACGACGGCGGCCGCAAGGAAAAAACATGTGCACATTGGATGTGCACAAGGTGGGGTTCGAACCCACGCGGAAACTAATCCATTGGAACTTAAGTCCAACCCCTTCGACCACTCGGGCACTTGTGCGTGCCCATCTCTTGGGATAAAAGCTATGTATATTTATGTTGATTTGAAATTTTCGTTTTAAATAGTTTCTTCATGATCACCCCTGCATGTGGCGCACTGTGCCGATTACGCCAATGCACTGTGATAAACGTATGAATCGTTCCGGCATGAAAATGAACGCCTTGACGTGCAGGAACGCCCTCCCTCGCTGTGGTGTTCAGAGTTTCTGTGAAATGGGAATTTTAGCCACGTTCGAAGGCGGGCCTTCGACCACGCCAGGGACAAAATGGTGCACAGCAACACGGCAGCGACTACATGCTCTGGTCTTACTCCAGGTTCTGTCTTTCCATTTCTAATGTACGGGATTTCCGCAACTTGTCCAACCAACCAAACAAACACACAACGCCCAGCCTAATCCAAACACTGGCACAATTTGTGCTAAAGGGGCAGTGCTTTGTTGTCGGCTCCAGATCGAGATGCCTCCGCTCAACATGATCGGTGGTACGTCCCGACGAACGCCCCTCCCACCGGTGTTCCCACTCCGCCGACTTCCCAAGCAGCCAGAGGCGCACACGATACGGTTCAGTGCGACTTTCACACCCAGCCTGTCTCGTCTTCCTCCATCGTAACCGCGCCACGCCGCGCTCTGTCGGACATCGCTCCGCCCATAGACCGCCTGGCGCCGCGGCGCAAACGGCACCCCAGCACCGGTGTGCCCGGAGTTCGTGAGCGCCTGGCGGGCTCTTCTCGTCGGGGCCGAAATGGGCGCCATTTCTCAACCATCTGCTCCCAAAATCGCGGGCGCCGAGCCGCATCACAGGGTCGTCGGCTCCCATGTCGGACATGCAGCCCTCCGACCGGGTTTTGCCGCCGGACCGGCATCGTTGCTGGGGATTTACGGCAACCGCGCAACGCTGCAACGGCCCTCAGCATTGGCAGCATACGGAGGCCCCCATCCGAGGTCGACAGCACCACTGTCCTCGCCGCCGCCGGCGTCGCTCCTTGGAGGTGGGGCGAAGGGAGGCGCTTGCGGTTGAGGGACTGAGGCCCGAACAGCCGGTCGCGAGAGGTGCGAACCGGTTTTCCCGTCCTCCCAGACGTGCAACCCTCGCATGCAAGCGTATGCCAACGGGCACGCGGTTTGGAATCACCAACCGCCGCGCCCGTTTTCCTGGACCCTCGCCGCGAGAGGGGCCTCCGCCACATGCAGCGCCGCCCTGTTGTGCGCGGAAGCGTCCTCACTGCACGCGCTTGTGGGCCGCTGCCGCCGCCGCACACGTGGAAAGCAGCAGCGGCAACACAGGGAAGGGGCGTCAACGAGCGGCTGCTGAGGGCATGAACAATTGCATCGCTGTTCAGGGTCCCTGGTTGGCTTCCCTGGTTGCCAATGCGGCGGAGCCGAGACCGACCGTCAACCAATCTACACATCACGCCTGGGCGCAAGCCCCTCCGCGACGTGATGCGCCCCGCATGGCTGCGGCTGGCCCTGCTCCTGGGCGCGTGTCTCCAGCTGGCGGCCGGCCAGGCGCTTCTAGAGTGCTTCCCCACCGTGGAGTTCGCGTCCTACACCAGCGAGGCACAGGATGTGAGGGTGGCATTCACCCTGAAGGTGAGGCAACGCGGCGTGCCGCCGGAGAATTGGGCCATGTTTGGCCGCTGGGGAAATGCATGTCAACATGTGGGACCCGCGGCTTGGGATGTGGGTCCTGCCCAAGCGTGCGTTGCGCTCCGGCGGCTGTTCGGCGCGTTTGACCCCGGGGGAGGCGCGAGAGGCGCGGGGGGGAGTGGAGTGAGGGGGCATTGACAAGGCGTGCAATGTTAGTAAGAGGCTTTTAGTCACAAGTTCTCACTTGTTTTGTCAGAAGTTCACTATTGTCACTACTGCGCGCCGCGTGCCGGTCTTGCGGATGTGGGGGTCGTATGGCTTTGCGCGGGATGCGCACGCCTTGAGCACAGTGCGCAGCCGCATGGCGGTCAGTGAGCGCATCATCATCATCATCATCATGATTTTTTTACAGAAAAAAATCATTGAGCGTATTATTGTAAAATAATTATTTGAGCGTATCTCGCGCAGTGTGCCGTGCCGTGAATGCGAACTCAGTCTGTTCATCAGCCATCAGACTGATGGCATTTCAGACAAGGGAACATGCCGTCCCAGTTCGTCACAAACACCGTTCCTGAGCGTGAGCAGTGCGTTTCTTGTTCGCTTCCTCTGTCCCAGCCACAGAACTTTCACGATGCGCAATCCCTTGGAACACGTCTTCGGAGAACCGAAGTAAGAACTTTTCTTGATTACTAAGCATTTAGTTATTGCGATCTAGTTGTAAATGAGCTTGACAAAAGTGCTGAATTAGCGAGGAGGTGTGAGCTTTGAGCCAATTTTCCCGAAACGGTGCTCTGGTGCTGATGTATTACCGGGGCTGTCACTCAAAGCGCGTCTCTGTTATGTTTCAGCCTAGAGCGTTGTGATTGCCGTTCGCTGAAACCGATATCAAGGCTGATACTGCGCGGTTGGGGCCATTTTCGACTCGATTTGCATCGCCACCACATGGCTATCAACAGCTCGACACGATTGACATTACGGAATGAAGTACTGCAATGGCTAATGTTTCAGATGTTGAAACAGCCCTTTGTGGACGCAAGCAGCTCCAGCCACCCGAAGATGCACACGCATATCTATGCACACATCCCAGGAAAACGATTTCCGATTTTCCTTTACTGTAAACAATGCCCAGCCGCAGCCTCTTCGATGCTTCCCTAAAGGCAGCTCTCGGTGGTCCAACGGCAGGCTCCAGGCCAAGTGCAGTCTTCGGCGCCGCTGTCGTTGACGACCGTCCTCGACCGCTCGGGCTCCATGTACGGCAGGAAAATGGACCTCCTCAAGAAGACCAGCAATTTTCTTATCAACCAGTTGGCAAAGGACGGGATCCACCTCACAGGTGTTTTTGTATATGGAAGCGAGGTGAGTGTGAGGCGAATTCGCTAAGCGGAATGCTGGAGACAATGGAATCCTGGCCCTGCAGTACGCTCTCCTCAGCAGCAAACCATAGTTCTCACCAGCTGGTGACCGTGCGTTGTCAAGGGGATTTCATGTTTAACGCATGGCGCCGGCTGCTGGGCTCTTGTGGGCCCCGCGTTCTCATAACATACAGAAATTTGAAATTTCTGAATTGTGTTCACATGCATCATGGATTCTGTTTCTGTGCATGGACAGACACTGTTTCGAGCGCCGTTTTATGCAAGCCTGCATCATCGCGGCAACTCTTTCACTTTGTCTGGCCGAGTCGGCAGATCTTGAGCATTTGCGGACCGGCAAGAAATATTTGCTTGTTTGCTGTCCCTTGCCATTCATAATTTGGAGCGAAACACGCATTAGTGGCCTTGCGTCCAGTGCAACAAATCGTTATACTTGATGAACTGTCTAATAGCGAGATATTGACATGCGTGAGAACAAAGTGCGATGAGATGAGTAACATATGCACTTGCGATACATGGTCATACAAATGCGACTTTGCTCCTCAGATTTCAACTATTTCTTTGCTGTAGGTCGTGAGATTGATCCCTCTGCTGCCGGTGAACACTACCATTGCGCCCCGAATGAATCAGGTCATCAGCAGCATCTTTGCCTACGGACAAACATTCCTGTCGGGCGGCCTGAATGCCGGCATCAGGCAGCAAAAGAACGGGCCGGAAGGGTTCGTGAAGAACGTCTTCCTCTTCACTGACGGTCTTCCTACCATTGGTGGGTTGCCTGAGCCACTCAGGCAGAAGGCCACAGTGGCCTTCTCGCTGCGAACCGTGTTTGACTAAATTTGTATTCATTTATGGTTGCCTTCAATTCGGCTACTTCTGCACGTGGACGGATATTGTACAAAAGCTCGATGTTGACCAGTGTTGTTGATAATTCTGATCACCGAAGGCTTCCGTTGGTTGAGAAATCAGTTAGAACTGATTTGATTCAGAACTGCATTGATGCAGAGGTTTTCAGCCTCTATCATTAGTAACACTTGGAGGGCAACTTAAAACTGGATCCTGACGATTTCCGGATATTACCTCAGATTTTGTTGGATTCAAATTGCAAGCTGTCGATTCAAATCTCCACATTCAATGCGAATCGACACAACCATTGCGCCTCCTTGCAGGAGCCGTGACGCCCGAAGACATCTTGAGTGAAGTACAGCAGGCTCTCGGCAGCGGAGACAACTTTGGAGATGGGAGCAGCAGTTTTGGAGATGGCGACAGCAACCGCGGAGATGGGACCCCCGTCAAGTCGCGAATCAAGATCTCCACATTTGCTGTCGGCGAAGAAATCGA